ATTTGATTTCACTCTTTGTTTTTTCAGTTTTGTGAGATTTGGTTGTTGCATGTTTGGCAACTTGCTACATGGGTTGTCTCAAGTTGTTTGGGTTTTGTTCCCATTAAAGTTTCTTCATTTTCTGATTCTTTTCCAATTCATTCTCTGATCAGAAGAGTAGAATTTTGTTTGAAATGCTCATTCTGTGATTAGAAAGATTGTGCTCTTGGTCCTGGTGGGTACAGTCTGATAAAGTATTTTTTCTTTTCGAAATTAGATTGTTGCAACTTCTTAAATCTTGGGATTTGTCACATTTGGTCTGCAGTTTTGTGGAGTTTCTTGCCAGTGTAGTTTTGTCTTTTGAGATTGTTTTTCATATCTGACTCTTTCAATTTGAATCATTTGATGATTTTATTGATCAGATAAGTAAGTATTTCTGGAGGTTTGAGAAAGCTGGAGATGGCTCAAGAAGGTCGAAACATGGATGAGCCGGTAATCTCTGCCTTTACCAGCCTTCTGTAGTGTGTTTTCTTCATGATTCAATCGTAAACCATTATTAAAACTTTTGGAATTTTGCATTGTTATAGGTTGTGCTTGTAGAGGAAAAAGGTTCTGTGAGATTGACTACTCTTAACCGGCCTCGTCAGCTAAATGTCATCTCTTCTCAAGTGGTATGTTAAGAACCTATATAAGAAGTTGATAACATTCACCTCTTCTATATACTGAGAGCCGCCTAATGGAAACTCTTTGAAACTCAGGTTCGCAAGCTTGCAGAATATCTCGAAATGTGGGAGAAGGACGACGAAACTAAGCTTATATTGATCAAGGTTTGCTCTTTTGTCCTTGGTCTGCTAAATGATTTTCTACTACAGTTGATAATTTCTTAACATAGCTTATTTGTTCAGGGTGCAGGGAGAGCTTTTTCCGCAGGTGGTGATCTGAAGATGTTTTATGACGGCCGGGAATCAAGTAAGACGCTTTGCGAAAGAACACATCCGAAAGAGATTATATCATAACGTAATGAATGATAATTCGTTTTTAACAGAGGATTCTTGCCTTGAGGTTGTTTACCGTATGTATTGGCTTTGTTATCATATCCACACATACAAGAAGACACAGGTAGCTTTTATTTAGTAGTGTTTCCAAATTTCAGTGTATGAAAGTGTCTTCTTGAAAGAGTATTTACCGAGTAGAATTGTATAGGTTTCTCTTGTTAATGGAATATCAATGGGTGGAGGTGCATCATTGATGGTCCCAATGAAGTTTTCGGTTGTGACAGAGAAAACTGTGAGTTACTTATGAGTTTAAGTCTGCTTCATATCTTACCTGTGTATAATGGTGTGCAGAAACAAGTATAGGGATTCAACCATTTCTTTCATTGATAGGTTTTTGCAACTCCAGAAGCAAGTATCGGGTTTCACACTGATTGTGGCTTTTCTTACATCCATTCACGTCTTCCTGGTCACTTAGGTAACTGCTAACTAACCCATTAAATCCAAATATTGATTCCAACTAGGCATTGGCTAATCTCTAATGTAGTTGAATTCAATATGACATATGCAGGAGAATTCATGGCTTTAACTGGGGCAAGATTGAACGGCAAAGAGCTTATAGCAATTGGAATGGCAACACATTTTGTACCTTCTGTTGTGAGTTTTTGAGAATCCTTTCCTTCGATTTGATGGATTCAGAATGTCAATATATCTTTCTTCAGCTGTCTTCCACTTTAGCTATGTTCTGGAATTCTTGACTATAATCCTGAAGCTTGAATGCAGACAGATTCTATACTTATTCTAGAAAAGATAAATGGAAGGCTTATATCTTTCACATCTTTTCTTATTGTCAGAAATTGGTGGAACTGGAGGCACGGCTTATGAGTTTAGACTCGGGAGACACGGATGTAGTCCGATCCACAATTGAAGAGTTCTCCGAGGAAGTCAACATCGACCAAGACAGCATCCTTAACAAGTAACACTCCTTTTCATTGTATTTCCTTTCTTCAAGCTTGAAGTGTTAGATGATCTTTTTCCCCAGTGTTATATTTAAAGTATAAACTTTGGAGCTATGGCTGATCTGCAGGCAGTCAATAATTAATGAGTGCTTCTCAAAAGAAAGTGTGAAAGAGATCATACAAGCATTTGTAAGTCATCCAATTCTCCAGGAACAGAAGTCATTCCCAGCTCCATTCATTAGTGTAAAATATATCTGGTCCTCTTATAGGAAGCTGAAGCAAGCAAAGAGGGAAGCGAGTGGATAACTCCAGTCATCAAAGGTCTAAAACGATCGTCTCCCACAGGGTTGAAGATAACCCTACAATCGGTAATTGTTGTTTGTTACATGATCTTCCCTTTATCATATTTTTCTTGGTGTATCAAGTTCATTAAACAGTTATAATGGAAGGGAAATAGTTTATGTTTCAAGCTAAAACAAGGCTTTAGGCTAAAGTTAATCGGCAATTCTTGCAATGTTCTTTTTTATCGATTCCTGTGAAATAAATGAGTTTGTTGACTTGTTCTATCTTGTTGTTGTAATCTTTGCTAATAATTGACCTTGTTGATTTCTTTATAATGTTATAATTCAGTGATTCTTATAATATTCTTTTACAGATCCGTGAAGGTAGAAAGCAAACACTGAGTGATTGCCTCAAGAAGGAGTTTCGGCTCACCGTGAATATCTTGAGGAACACAATATCCCCTGACGTGTATGAGGTACAAAACAGATGCACGCCATTTCTTGTTATTCATTTTCAAGTAAACAGTAGCATCATGTTATTCTTTCTCTAATTCTGGTAATAACGCGCAGGGTATAAGAGCTCTAACCATAGACAAAGACAATTCTCCAAAGGTATGGTTACGCTCTTGAATGCAAAATATGTGTCTACTTAGAACCAAATATCACAATTCAACATATACTGTAAGCTTCAATAATTGGGTTGGTGCAGTGGAATCCAGCGACATTAGATGAAGTAGATGACGAGAAAATCAACTTGGTGTTTAAGCCTTTGGAGGATGATATTGAGCTTCTTATCCCTGAAACAGAAGAAAACAGGTTAGTTTAAGGGATAGATAATAAACCCAACTCTGAATTTTGTTTTATCTCTCAGAAAAGAGTCCATTTCTTATGTTTTTGACAGTGAGCCATTGGAAATTCACAGGTGGGGAGGCAAGTACGAGACTTCAGGGTGTGCATCAGTACGAGGATAGAAGAGAACAGAGCATATGTTGTGTTTTTTCCAAATCCACGTAGTATGTTGTCTTATTACATAATGTGTTGCGTCAGGCTCACACTCGATTATTCAAAATAAGTGTTATGTATGGATCTTGCAAACCAAACATGATATTCAAAATCCCAACCTACAAATTTTAGGTTTATAAAACTAAACCTTTAATCCGGAAGATGGTGTACGTTCTTTAGATTATCATTATGTTGTTTGTCAACAATACATTTGTTTTTCTTATTATAGTTAATAGCAGTTTATATTCAGTGTTAATATTAGATAAACGAAGTTACGTTTTAGGTCGTTGAAACAGGCGCGGGTAATTTGGACAGCTCAGTTGCCTCTCTTTTTGTTTCTATTCACTATATATCGAACACACACAGCAGAAGACAGAGGAACAAAAAATGGCCGACTCTCTTTTGGAAAAGGCAACCTCTGCTCTCAGTGAAGCCAAAGAAACCGTCACCACCTCCGCTAAAACCGATGTCATGAAGGATGCTGTGGACAATGTGGTCACAAGAGGTATAGATGGAGCCAAATCTCTGCTACACGGTTTGGAAGAGAAGAAAGATGAAGTCTCCTCCAAGATCATGGACGCAGTTTCACACTTTACTGGTAGCACTGACTCGGCAGCCTCAACCGCAAACGGTGACTTACCGGTATCCACAGAGAATCAGGTTCGAATCCACACACTTACGAAAAACTTCAAATTCTTTTTGTATCTTGGGGTAAAAATGCTTTTCCCATTTTTTTCACAATTGCAGCCACTCTTAGCGGCTGGTGATCGTGAAGCCGAGCCGTGGTGGAAGATATGTTGTGGAGTTCTTGATCTTCTCAAGGCATCATCATCATCTACTAGATGAAGATCCAACTTCTATGTGAAGAACAGAGTAAAGAAAAATGATCCCCCACAGTTTTTCGGACTATGTTCTGATTGTATTTCCTTCCATTTTCTTGATTGTAATTTCAAATTATTTCCTCTGCTAAACCTACGGGTTTGATACAATCTCTTGATCGTTGTGGAGATTATTTGTAATGAAGAACTAAACAAAAACACAATAAAAAAGGCTACTAAAGTGTATAACCAATCAAATTCTCAAGCATAAGTAGTAACGTAAGAAATACTCTGAAAACCAAAGAAATCAAATTTCATAAACTTCAACCTCGAAGAATCAAACCCTTTTCGAGTGATAAATGTAGCAGAAAACAGCTGCTCCAGCCACTGCAACCGCAACCGCAGCGATAGCTCCACTCGAACCAGCACTCACAGTCGTCGGCGACCATGACTTAACCTCAATGCCATTAAGTGGCTCATCAACCATATTCTTCAATCCACTGATCATCTTGTCAGACTCATCCATTTGTTTCTGTAACTCAACAATCTCTGATTCCATAACCACCACTCTCTTCTCTGACTCTCTCAACGAATCCTCCACAATCTTCTTCTCTGTTTTCAACTTCTCCAACTCTGCTTTCCCTTTAGCTACATCGGATTCCAAACCCTTGATCTTCTCTCTCAAATCATCAACCTCTTTATCCTTATTGTCAATCTTCTCTCTCATCTCTTCCTCTCCTCGAACCTTCTTGTTCCTCTCCTCTAACTCCTTCACTTCCAAAGCACTAAGCTTTGTCTCCAA